AATCTTTGCACAGGCGTTTTCAAATCAAAAACTTATTGTATTATTTCTTTTGGATAACAACAAATGTGAACAATAATATATTTTACAACTTTAATTTAATATAGAAGACATGAGGTAAGACAATTACTTGAGCTACAGATCCAGAAACATTTAGTTGAATGGGTAAGAGAGACCACAATTGAAGCAACAATATTCCAGTATCATCAGCATCAATGACACTTGGAATCATAAAAATTCCTCTTCCTTATGCATGTGAGCAGGGAACAACTAGGCCAATTGTCTCAGGAGGTAAAAGACTGTGAAAAGTACTAGGAACTTTATAAACAGTACCTGGCATTTCCAAATTGATAGGTTCAGCTACTGTAAAATACACTACATTGGCTGGTCCAGTGATATCCTTTTTTGCAAGTGGGACACAGGGTATCCAGTCTGTTATCTTCGGGCTTTGCCCTACAACCTTTACTCACAAGTCCGGGTTCTCCACAATTAAAACAAGCAGCAGGGGATTGTAAGGCAGCAGCCAACAATTGCATTTTATACATTTGAGTTTCTATATTTGGGCAAGCTGAAATCTTTGAGCCAAGGAAGTAGCATAAATATCTTTTAAAGTATTTTTGCTGTCTTGGTTTGCATTTTTGTATGCTAATTGCTTTAGCAGGTTAGAGGCTACTGCTCTGTTGTCCACCTGACATTCAATAGCTTTATTTAATTTCTCTATAAAGGTAAGGAAAGGTTCAGTGGCCTCCTGTTTAAGAGTACTAAAGGAACCTTGAGCATCTGCTGCTTCAGGGATTCTCTTCCAAGATTTTAAAGCAATTTGAGCCATTTGAGGATAAGCTTGGGGGTGGCAGTGAATTTGTTGATGAATATCCAAAAAAGCTCTCTCACCCCTAGTGCAGTAGCTCCTACAGGAATATTGTGACCTAAATTATCTGTAGCTTGTGTGTCTGCAGCAGCATTATATTGTTGGAGCCATACCTGATACTGGATTGGAGTAACAATAGTATGCATTAAGGCTTTCCAATCGAAAGGGGTCATTTCGTACTGTGACCTATACCCTCAAGAATGCCAATAACAAAAGTACTTTTAAGTCTATATTCCTTGACAGTCTTTTTTTTTTTTTTTTTTTTTTAACTCTTTAAACACAGAATATTCCAAACTTTCAAAGCGGGGCTCCTGTCCTCGTTGATGCAAAACAGGACAAGCAATTAATTCCCCATGTTGTTTAGCTTCTTGGGTTAGCTTTTGCATGGGAGTTAAAACTGGTGGAAAGTCACCCAGAGGTTTTACAGGACTAAGCAGCAGAAGCAGCACACCCAGGAAGACTGGGAAGCCAACCATGTGGTGTTCCATCTGCCGACTGCCAAATGTTGTCACAGCATCCTAGCAAAGATACCAGCTGCGCAAGACAGAGATAGGAGCTCAAGGCTCCTCATGCAGCAGTTTGCTTATCTTGTCCCAATCTTCCACAATGAGCACGCCCCCATCAGTATACCAATGACACTGATCATGAGTTTCCAACAAGAGTTGCACCACACTATCCTCTGCAGTAACAAGGCCCACCTTCCTAAGAAGGAAAAGCACTTTTGCGTTGTGGTTCTGCTGTGCTTCGGACAGAGAACTCCTCATGACCTACTTGATGAAGGGATTTTCTGAAGAAAATGAGGTAAGGTGAAATAGACACGTGTTGCGGCTGTGTTCCAGCCAGTGAAGCTAAGTCTCCCTCCACAGCAGATGTTTTCACTGTAGAGGCCCAGTTCAGGTGCCAGGCTGTTGGAGTGTGTAGCTACACTCCTAAACCCCAAACCGGTGCACAGTGAAGGCCCCAAGGAATGGGACACGTGGCATGGTCTTTAGGGCTGCAGGAGGAGTGAAATCTTTTGCAGAGCTTGTAACTCAGCTAGCTGGCCAACTGACTGATGCTAGGTAACCCGTATATAATCAGAACAAGCAAAGATTTGAGTGGACAGTAGAAGAAACCTGAACGGGAGCGTGGGAGGGGTTTAGGACCCCTCAGAGTAACAGGCAATGCTAATTAAGGAAAACTATCCAGAAAGTCTCTAGTTGGCCTCAGCTATGGCCTATCTTGCCCCTGAGATGCCTCCTCATTCTCAGCTCAATCATGCCCAGGCCACGCCACAGCCCTGCACAGGTATTCAGCTTCAACGCTCTCCGAAAACCAGCCCATGTTACTTGTTTGTAATTCCCACTAGGGCCTCTGATATTCTTCACGTTTGTAGGACGTAGGATGATGGAATATATTAATTCTCTGCTCAAATTTGGCATCTCATTAGCCTTCTAACTTTCAAACCTAGGGCCAACTATAGGTACTTCTTTGGATGTTTATTGCCAGGAATAGCATGCTGAATTATTATATCAAATTCACTCTCTTGCGTCTCATAATACTTCCTGAGGTAGAGAGTGACCAAGGACCCCACTATGTTCAGGATGAAAATATAGGGATGAATCTAATATCTAAAGTGAAGTTATAAAGCAAATGTCACATTTTTTTCTGAGATACCTCATCCAATTTTCCCTTTCCTGTGGTCACAGGACTGTGATTTGTGCCTGTGGTGACACCTGAGCCCACCTTCACTGTGCCATTTGTGCTCTGGGATCCACCATTTCCTAGGCCTCCACCCCCGGATAAAGTTCATGTCTGCTTCCATGGAAACTGTGCCCATGTCTTTTTCTTTCTAAGAAATGAGTGATTGTTTTTCCTTTTACTGACCTGAGAGATACTTTCATTTTTTCAGTAGTTGTGGAAAGTAGGCAGCATTTCTAGGTATGCCTTAGCAACTTCTCCATCCTTCCAGTTAAAATCTCCTGACAAAAACACGTATGCAAGCATGGCCTTACTTGAAACAAAAGAGAGTAAAAAACCAGAATATGTACAAATCAATAAATTGATAAGAACGTTATTGTTCTGAGAGTCAACATCCTCAGTTCATTCCTTAATTGTAGTTTGTGTGTATGTGAGGTGACCCTGTGGTACAGAGGACAGGAAAGGGCTTTCACATTATGAGAATGCTATATACAAAGATATTTTGGGGACACAAATGTTTTTACATTTTTCTGCTGTTTCAGCTAATCAAGAACTATGTGCAAATTTTTATCTCTAAGAACTTTCTGAACTAAATTGGTATTATTTTCAGAGATGGAGTTCATATATCAGAGAAATATTCTACATGAAAAATCCCATATGGCTCAGATTTAAATTAAGTTTCAAAAGGAAGACAAGGTACTTACAGAATCTACTTTACGACATAGCAATAAGTGAAATAAGACTGGGGGAGATTTTCAAACATCAGTGGATCTCTAGAGATTTTCCCTTCCTGACGAAGGCAGATCAAATGCTTTATCTCTGGTAGCATTTATTATTGGTTCCTCACCTTTGCCCCCACTTACACTGCTGATGCATGTGCCACAATCATGTGAGCATAGTCACATACCTAAGCATACATGTGCTTTCTTTTGGAGGACAGAAAGGCTGAAACTTACATAAGGGATTCCAGGCACAAATATAAATATTTTGAATCGCTCCTAGATGTTACAGTTTATAGTATAAATAGAGAAGAAATGCTCATCCTATACATGGTCTTTTCAATATTTACTCTTTCATGACTCTTAAGTTCTACACTATGATTTTGTTAGACAGTTATGTCCCGACAGGCCACTTCCCTCAGATTAAGAGTCTACTGAGCTTTGTTTGGAAATTATACAGTGAAGCAGAAGGGGTTTGTCACAAAATAATTTACTGGAGCCAGGAGAGTGCCCTGATTTTGAGAGGAAGAAAGAAGATTTTTATGTTTGTCTCTGTTTTTCAGGTATTAGCACCAGTTGTGGCAGATGGCAGGTTTTCAACTATCATTTCTTGTGAAATGTCTAACAGAATGAAAATTTGACAATATTGGTCCTCTAGTTTTAATGATGAGGTGAATATCCCTTGTAAAGACTTAGAGGTGTGTAGAAATGCATTTCTACTCTAATGAGCATGGTATATAATGTTTCTGGGCTTGAGTGTTTCCTCCTTCAGGGACTAGGGTGAGAATTCAGCAAAGATCAAGCTTATAAAGTAATTATTGTTTCTTTAGTAGATATATATTGGATGCTAAATAAATGAACAGCTGTGTTTATCATGTTCCATTAAGGAAGTAAGCTCTTAGTTATCTTTAACATAATATCTAAACTAAGAGAATAGTCACTTCTTTTCCATTTTGGCTATTGTGATAGCATTGGTGAGATACATGCTGTATGTTCTACAAGCATGGTAATTGGCAGCACCAAGAGCACCTACCTAGTGACCATTTCCCACATACCTAATACTTTACCAAGGGTTCTTCTTAAGTTATGTTCATTTTATCTTTACAACTACACTGCAAGGGAAGTGGAATTATGTATTCATTTTGTCACCAATAAAACCATGAGTTGAATGAGTTAGTGGGGGAAGCCCTGTAATTGGCTGCCGCCTTGTATCTACAGGCAGCAGCTCCTTGCCTGGCCTGTTTCTCCTTAGGTCACAGGTCCCTGTGGTTTGGCCCATTCCGGGATTATGCTAATCAGCCTGCCTTATGAGCCCACGCAGGAGATTTGAATTACCCTATAACCCTCGGTCTTGCCACTGTTGCTAAATTACCTACTGATGTCTCAGAACCCAACTCCCTCCTCCCCCAATACACTATATATTCCTTACTCTTTCTTTGAATAAACAAGACTTGATCAGAGCACTGTCTTGTCTCCATTCTTCATGTCTCTTGTCTCTTCTCATCCCCACTGCCCCTCTAGCGTCTACGTTAACTCACCCATGGGCTGGGACAAGTTAGGTGGCAAAAGGGTCATATGCCTAATACGTGGAAAACCAGAGCTCTGATTCAAGTTTTCCTAATGGCAGGTGCCACTCTCCCAAGCTTTTCACTTCTTTTCACAAAGACCATAATTCTACAATGAAATTCACTTTAAAAGTTAACAAACATATTCTGGACACAATGAAACAACACACACAAATTTTTAATTTTTATTTATATTTCTTAGTTCAAGAATTACACACTAGCCAACATTATTATATATTTACATGCTGAAACTGGCTGCAATAAGTTTAAATTCAAGAAAATAATTCTTATGTGCTATTCTTTTATAATCTTCATTTTTTTTTTTTACTATCTCATGTATCCCAGAGATTTGGATAGTCCTGTTTTTAGAAAGACATGAAAATAGATGCAGTGATATCCACTTATGTTTTGCATTTTCTAGCCATTGGAAAATGTGCATTATGTGCATGTAAGAAAGGCTACAAGGTAATTAGTAAGGCTGATAATCACTACATTGTGAAGAAACTAGAATATCACCTTTTATAAAAGGACAGTTCAGAACTATGTAAGGACAGTATTTATAACAGAACCATTTAAACACCCATGCAAATAAAATTTAAAGTATTATGGAATTTAAATTATAGGTAACCAGCTTTGAATTAATTATGTTTAAAATCAACACAGATGAACTCGATATTGAGTAACAACAAAATCGATACAAGCTGATAAAACCGTCAGCTTGCTTCCAGTGGTGCAAGGACAGAGACGTGGGCATCAGATTAGAGGACGTGTGACGGGGTGATATTTGGCTTTGGAATTCAAAGAGTGAAGTTTTCTGTGTTCATGATTTTCAATCATATAGATCACAAAAATACCCTGAAAAGCAACTTAAAATTTCATGTCAGAATTCTGCAAATAGCAACAGAAATTGGTCTTCAATTTTCAAAATTTCTAAGCTGTTTAAGAGTGCTGCTTTCTCCCTCCTCCACATTTAAAAAGTGATTTCTTTAGGACAGTGTTTTCTTTAGCATTCTGCTGACCCCTTCCTAGTTTTAATGATCTTCCTAGTGCATTTGGAAAATATTTTTTAAACCTTTGGTGTGAAGCAGTGTCTTTTTCCCCCCCATTTCCTCCCTTTTTTCTTTCATTTTAAAAATAATTCTGGAGTCTTTGGTTGAAAGGAACAATACTATCTAAGGACAAAATGCTACTATTAACAAAAGTCTTCTCTACCCATTTTGTGCAACAAATTTCTGGAGTTGTTATGAATAACTATTTTTATTTTCTGTAGTTCCATCAATACAAACTTTTACTTTTTGAAAATTGAGACAAAGTGCAAACTTTGGTTTCTTGTACTCTGACATATAAAAAAAGTCTATGTAATCAATAATCATTTTTTCCCATTTTCCATTTCTAAAGGCTGTCTCTTGGTTCTAACTCTGATGACAAAAACCCTCTTCTAAAGAGGGAAAGAATGAGAGTAAGAAAGCAAAGAAGTGAAAAGGACTCTGTCTTAGAGAAAGAGAGAGAGAAAGAGAGAGAGAATGAGAGAGAGAAAGAGAGAGAGAGAAATCTAGATTCAGAGGGCAAACTAAAATACTTCTAAGATTCCCAAACCATTTATGTAAAAGGGTGTTTAAATTACTCTGCTGGGGCACTCCAGTTACTGTACTTTGGAAAAACAAATAAAAATTAAGGAAAAAATCTACACAATTATTTGTATCTATGGACTATTCATTTACAACATGTTTAATTATTTACATAATAACACATCAACTTAAGCCATAAACAGAATTAGCATGTTGTCTTACCATAAAATACAAATTAGAAGGTAAAAATATTTAAGAAATCTGTTTTAATATTTACACACGCTCAGTGAAAGTTATGGTGGCTCACATAACATATATTCTGTACAATTAGCAAAATGGCATGATTCCTACAATTGTATTTTTCCCTAACCAACATGGTGGGGTTTAGTTTTGTTTTCTCTTTTTCTCCTCCTTCTGGGAGGAATTTTCATTTTTCATTCTCTTAAGATTTTTTTTTTAAATTACCAATGGACAATATTATTTATGTCCTTGACAAAGAGAGCAATTAGACAAGCAAATGAGAACTAGTTAATTTCTATGTTCTGAGGTACAGTACTATTATACTTTTAAACTGCAATGGTTCATAAGACCTGTAGGCATTGATTTGCTGATAAAGAAATGCTCAGTACCCTGTATTACTTATTTCAATGTGTTGATTGTTGGTTGCCAAATTAAAAATACTCATATACTGGTGTAATGAAAGAAACAAACATATTAGCTTATTCCTTTTGTTTTCCAACATATGAATGCATATATATGTATGTATGTTTACATGGATCTATATATACACATATATACATATAAATATGTTGTAAGACCTGTTTTTATTGGTGGTGTTTTCCTGCTTCTGTTCTTGAAGTTAATCATAGAACTGGAGCACAGTGACCTATAGAGAATGGAAATTGTCTTCTTTGCCAATTTAATGCAGGTCTTGCTTAAAATATGTAACTCATTTCTTCATACATTCCACTGTACTTCCTTTACATGTTGTGCTTTTGAAAGCTGACATATTTGTTCTGTGTTCCTAATGCTAAAATATAAAGTCTTTTGGTTTACAAACCATCATTATTATTTTACTTAGCACTGTTTTTGAAGAAATGAGAAAAGTTCTGGATGGCACTGCTTGAGTCTTTTCCCATTGTTAAATTGCAATAGAAGGAACTGTAACATTCCTATGCAAACACATGATTATGTTGCATGAGTTTTCAATTCTGAAATGCATTTCATACCTACTAGCAGTCATGTACAATATATACAGATTGAGATCAAAGATTTCATTTAGATTGTGCATTTTAGAGTCGGAATTTGCCTATGTGTTTCATGAAGATGAAAAAACACCTTAATTGCTGGCTATTTGGCTGTTTTATAATCAAAAGAAAAACTATACATATGTATAAACTAATAATAAAACCATTTCAGAATTGCCAAAATGCACCATTGTGGTCCTTTAGTTTAGTCACTAAATATCAAGTTGGCTGGTCTTCCTAGATTTGTCAGGCCTAGCACCCTTCCTAGCATTTGACGACTGCATGTCAATTCAACAAAACATGCTTTAAGAATAAATCCTATACCTACTGTTATTTCTGAACAAGATGAGCCAGATTTTTCTATTTACATAGTTCTTGAATGCTGTACTTTTCTCTCTAGGGCATTTGTTCCAAGGCCTCATCTCTTCTCCTTTGTCTGGTTTCTTTGCATCATACAGAGAGCAGAAATGGATTCCTGATCGTATGCATTTGAGACTCATGCTATGAAGATGCCTCTATCCATTTTGATCCAGATCCCTCTGTTGACTTCCCTAGATATCTGAAATGACGGTGGAAGTGGAAATGACAATATCAAGAATTTTTATGGCTTTTACAGAAATTGCAAATAAGAGCCCACTTTTAGACTTAGGCTCTGAGTTGTCTCTAGAAAAACCATTCCAAAACGGCATTTTAGAGTTGTGCCCCTGAGTTATTGATATGCTCCTTCCTGCTGTTTTCTACTCAGACTTTACCCCCAGGTGAGAAGGGGTAGGCACTTTTATTAGTGTGATGTCCAAAGATGGTTGCCTCGGAAAAAAGTGTGTCCCTGTAGAAACTTGAAGAATCTCTATTCTGAGCATAGATGGAGGAAACTTAGAGTCTGCCCAAAGATTATACTCAGAGATATTCAAGTATGTAATCAAACAACAAGATCAAGATTTCCTTACACTGGTGGAAAGAAAATACTATCCCACTTTGGGGGTAAATTCAGAATGTTGAATGATGTCTTTTTAAAATTTTCATTGTTGTTCTTTGATAGTTGCAATGGAAGAGCAATGAGACTTCAGAATATTCCAAAATAGTAAATCATGAAAGGAAGAAAGCATCACTTTGTCATAGTAAGGTACTAGCCTTTGCTCCCATGCACAATTAGGGACATTACTCTAAAAAGAGGCATTATTTTTTTAAAAGGAAAGAGAAATAGCACAGTACTCCTCTGAGAAAAGTACAGTCAAATCAATAGTCAAATCAATAGTCAAATCAATCTGCTTACTATAAGTAAACCAAAATTTGAGCCTCACATTGATAGAAATAAAGTACATTTGCTTCTTTTCTTTTCTGTCAAATATATGAATGTATATATCCAATTATTATAAAAACTAACACAATGATGTAATTTAAAAATAGAATTAAATACATCTTACCAGCCTATCAGTTAAATATTTTTTCTGTAATATTAACCGAGGCTCGTGACACTCATGTTATTAATGGAGCTTTGTTGTTATCTTATTGTTCACCATATGTTTGTTGATTGGCAGAATGCAATATACACAAAATAAGCACCCTTAAAAAACCAGAACCAACAAACCTACAAAGCAATGGCCTTTGTGCACATACTCAGGAAAGTTCTGCTTGCTTTGAAAAACAGAAAGATAAATTTCATTCTAAATATAGTGAAATTCATTGTGAAAATAAAGTTCATTCAATCTCTCCAAAGTTTTACTGTGGCCATCATGTAGGAATATAGTAGAAGTTTTGGAAGCAAGAAAAGCTGCAAAGCAATGAATATACCCTCCTTTTGAAATACCCTATTAAACTCAACAGGAAATTTACATGGAAATGTTACATGGAAATTTACATGGAAAACAGCTGATCCTGTTTGAGGAAAAACAAACTGTTAGCTTTGTCTGGCTCTATATCTGTATATTTGAATGACTCCTGATCACATGTGAACGTTTATGATACTTCTAATTCTTCTAACTTTTCTATTTAATGGCCATCTTTGGGTTAAACTATAAAAACATCTCTAAGTATGCTGTTACAAGCTTCTGAGTTTGGAAAACAAATGTCTTTTACTGTGCACTTTCTACTGGACATGGTGTGTGTAGACCAGATGCTGAGTTGATCTGACAAAGGCCACACTTGCTTGTTTGCTTCAATTTTGTTGGCAGTCATCTCTGTTTTTGACCCTGCTTTATGTTGTTAACTCTTATTTTAACTACCTACTAGGCAGCATTCTTGCAAAAAAAAATATTGGCTGCCATGTATGATGATGTTCACAAGTCTCTCTATGTCTAAGTACCAAAATGAAAGACATCATTGTTCTTGATTTCCTGTGCCCAAGCCAACAAAGAGGCCTAATTGGTTTCCTGGATCTCTGCCTTGTTCCTCGCTCTGTCTCTGTACCCTGATCCTGCTCTACTTACATGAGAGAGAAACTGCTAGTCCAGTGAGAATTATCTTCCTATGACACTGCATCACCTTGAGAAGACCAGCAGAGACCGTCTTGGAGCTACGAAGCTCAAATGATATTGCAGATAATGTTTCATACGCACAGTGCTGACTCAGCAGCATGTCAACCTCAGGAATGAGATGAACGGTATCTGAATCTGATCATATGGTAATACTATTGAGCCTTCTCAGAATATCATCTGGATATTTCCCCTCTGGGTAGGCTACACATTAAGCAAATAAAGTAGAATGCTTGACTTCAGTTTTTCCAGCATGTGTAAAAATTACTTGCATTTCAACCAGAAAACCACAAGGACCTTAGAGTATTCATTACTGAGCAGAAGCAACCCAAATGGTATGAAATGGACCACAGGATAGGCCAGCAACTAAGGTATTTTAGCATCACTTTGTCCTGGATGGATGTGTTCTCCAAGTCCTATGTCAGGCTGTACAACTGTTTTGAGGAGGAATCTAGTCCTTGCTTCTCGTGGAAGGCTGTATTTTAGTTCACATAGTAAAGCCAGTAGACGATGTTGAAGAAGGAGAAAACCACTGGGAAAAATATACGGGACCACCGATCGATGGCGTTCACATCAGTCAAGTCAGGGATGGTGATTTTCAGCTGGGAGGCACGTCTCCTCAGGCGACTTTTCTTTTGTGCCACATGTCGTTCCAGAGCATTTCGGCCAAAACTATGCCTGGGCAACCCAGCTTTCCGATACTGGATGCTGGAGGCATCATAAGCCAGCATTGTGCTCCTAGGGTCTCCAAGTCCCATCACAGCCTCTGATGTGGTCATTTCGTTTTTGATCTCAAGAGTGCTCAGTAGAATGTTCTCATGTGGGTCCATCTACAAGAGAGAAGAGTCAGAGAAGACACTGAAAACAGTAAGATTGTATTGGTGCTTATAATGCAAGAAATTAAGGCTCTTGAAGTTGTATTTATGCTAGGACCAAAGAAACAAGATACGGTACTAAGCTGTTTGAGTTTGAACTGTGGCTCTGCTGCTATAAGCTACTTTCTGTTTCAGGTTTAGCATCTATTAAATGCTATAATGATCCAATCCTCGAGGATTCCTATAATATCATCATGTATTAGACTGTTGCTCAAATAGCTTTTATTATTTCTATTTAAAGCATGCAGAGAAATAGAAGACACAGTATTCTTTAAAAGAATGTGTAGCCTTGCTATGAATATAAAACATTAAACTGTACTAGATATGAGAAAGAGTCAGGGAATTGGTTACTGAATTATGCTCATAAGAGTAGCCTAAGTATAGATGAATTAATAAAAAAAAAACTAGAACTAAAAGTACTGTGTAATTATCAGGTGCTTGCTATATGTGACAGGCATGTTTTTGTGTAGTTCTCTTTATCAGATACTGCCTAACACCCACAGTGATGAGATGTTCCCTTGTATTTGCAATGTCAATATAAATAAGGTAAAGGAATAGTTTGAGTAATATAAAGCAAGTTGCATGTAACTCACCAAAATATAATGGAATTGAAAATAAGGAATTAAAAAATAAGGATAGGATGACAGGAAAGATTCCTGGTGGTGGAGACATGGTTGAAAATGGGACTGACTTGAAAGGAAAGAGAAAGGATAGGATGGGGGAAGCGTAGACTCAACTCAGCTGAATACTTGACTGTGGAGTGGGTTTCAGTTGGTTATCCAGCCATGTCTGTTAATGTCTTCTTATTGCAAAGCTAAACATAAATGCTGAATATTGACATAATGATTTCAAAATATTAAATTATTATATTGTGCTACATTAAGAATCACATGTCTTAATTTTTAACAGGCCTCCATTGCTACAGATAATAAAACCTAGCCACACTTATTATTAGTATTAGAGTATATATATATGCTTTAATGGCCAATCAGGATATATCAAATGCCTTTAAAACTTTTGAAATTATAAAATAAGGACAATATGGCCAGCAATAGATTCTAAATAAATACTGACACAAAAGATATAACCAGACAATCAGATGATATAATGCTCTGAGCTTCATGAGTTAGGTAGAGGGTAAAAAACGCTAAGATTATATTTTTTGATTAGCTTTATTTTTTATTTTATTTATTTATTTTTGGTATCAGAGATTGAACTCATGACCTTGTGCTTCCCAGGCAGGCGCTGTGCTACTGAGCTATATCCCCAGCCCTAGATTAGCTTTAAAATATGGTTTAATCACTTCATATTATAAATTCAAATATAAAATCTTTTGATAATAGAAGCTATAAAATATGAAACATTCTTGGACACAAGAGTTGACCAGTTCATCTTTGTCCTCTAATAAAATATTCTACATGTTTGATTTATGGTAATATTTTGCTTTGTGGAGTGATTAAACAAATATATTTTATTAAGCATAAATATTGATTTCAAATGGAGGTAAAGTTTGGGGACCAAATAAATGTTGAAAGAGTTTGTCAAGATGTGTCCAGGTCACAGCTGTAATGATGAGTTCCCACTCTTTAAGTGGGAAAGGAAGATCGAATGTGGGTGGTATGTTCTAGTTCTTTGCAGCAACATTTTGAATGATCTTAATCACCCTTTTATTTATTTTTTATTGGTATATGGATGTAGTATATAATGATTACATTCACTCTGGAGAATTGGTATATGTACATGACATTTCTTAATTCTTCCCCCTCCCTTTAAAGAGCATTTTTGCACTTATAGAAGAAGTCAGTCATGACGTTTCTCAGAGTCACATATTACTAAATGGAGCTGGAATTCAAATCTTCATGCTTTGAGAATGGAAAGCCTGGAAGTGGGAGGCTGTAGCTTTGCAACATTCAAGGCAAGTGAGGTTGAGGGAATTGGGAAACATTGTTCTGTGTTACTTTAATGGTGTGTTTCTTTCTGTCTTTCTCTAAATTATCGACTCTTCCTTTAACTACCTGGAAAATCCGATTTTTGCAAAAATTTTCTGTCCATTGTCTGGGAAAGCATTTATGACTCTCCCCTCCTCAAACATCATAATGTTTATTTTCCTATTGACCAATTATAGTAAGAACAGTTATGAGTGGGCAGCAGACCTGCTGAGTTAAACGTATAAAGCAATAGCAACAACATAATGCAAGTGACTGACTCCAGTGGGCTCCTATTCAGTGAGGCTTGCTCTAAGTTTAAGATGAACTATACGTGGATAATTTATTGAATATAGGTTTTCATCGTATTATGTATGGAATTGAAGAATTGAATTAGATAAATCCTGAAGCCTTACTATTTATTTATTATTCATTCATTCATAATTTAAAAGATACTGAATGAAAACCCACTCTAGACCCAATGCTATGCCAAGTATCACAGATACTTTCCTAAAGAAGACAGTATTGCTGCTGGATCCAGAAAGAAAACTGAATTTGATATCAAAAATAGTAGTTTTTAGCTCTTCTATTTATTATTTTTGAGCCTTGCCTGTTATACAAGGTCTCTGAGTCTAGGTTGGTTAAACTATGCTGGGATATAACAATAGAATTTTTGGAGACTAACTCAACTAAAACATGTGAGAAGAATCTGAAAATCTAAAGCAGCATGTAGAATTAGTTGTTAAGACATGCTGTAAATGAGGCGGATAGACACAGGATCCAGTGACTAGGCAAAAAACAACAAATGAATATGGCTAAAAAACTGAGTAGGTTTCCTAGCTGTGCTGTCTCACTTTGTATAAAGCAAACACTTAGAAAAATCATAACTGATGTTGTGGTAAAAATGTAATAGCTATTCACTGAATGAATAGATGTGATCTTCTGGAATAGATACGGGTTCTGACTTTTTTGTAGGCAAAGCTAATCATATCATCCCTCAGTGATATCGCCAACCTCAGGAGAAAGGTGTGGTATCTGAGGAACACTGACATCAGCCCATGCTAATCTTTGGTGCTACTATATCATTAATACTATCCAACTTTAAATTATGACCGTGGATCGAGGCTCAAGGAATAGGTTAAATTGGACAAGAAAAATAACATTTTTCCCAGATACCCATAATCATGAAGTGGTGGAAAAAGATAAAATGTACCTATCTTTGTTATTTAGCTTTCAATTAACGGACATATGAAGGAGTCTCCCAATAGGTTGTAATGGAGCAGGGGCCACAAAACAGTGAGGCCCTGATACTGATTTTCTTATCTTGTCCTTTTAAGGACCAGTTTCCTTCGCTACCTTCTCATCCTTTCTACAAAGCTTCCCATCCTTAATTCTATCCTTAAAAACAGCTGAATCCCTTCTCTGAACAATTTGCTTACTCTTGGGATTGCCAATATTGGGAGTGCTTTGAAGGTCTAGTAGGATGCCTTAATTAGCACCTGGAAGTGCATCTTTTTTATTTTTTTGCCAGAAAGGAGGGACTAGGACAGTGCTTTAAGTTTGACTGTAGACTCAGACAAGCTGAGTTTTGATTCTGAGCTGAACTACTCACTAGCTTTGAGGCCTTGGGAAAATTATTTAATGTTTCTGAGCTCAATTTTCTTATAGCGGGAAAATACCCATACGAATCTCCTGGAGTTGTTAAAAAATAATTAAATAAACTGAATATACAGAGTACTTATTCCCACTCTGGACATAGCAAGAACTTCAAAACTCATCTTATTATAAAAATCCAATATATAGTTTCTGAATGCAGACATTTGATAGTCTACTATAGTTTTTTTTAAAATGTCATTGGCAGGTAAACCAGAACTTTGAAAATATTATATTTTCTTTGCTTTTGGATAACTAAAGCACTATTTTATACCTTGGGTTTTTAATCATGCATAATTAAGTTTATTACACATAATAAATCTGGACTGAGTTATTCCTAAATGTTGAGGTAGAGTCATGTTTCATGTCTCAGGTGGAGAGAGAGCAGCAGGCAGACAGGCCTTACTGGGCGTTCCATGCTCACAGAGCTCACCAGCATCCTCCCGACTATGAACAAGAGTGGAGCCAGAGCCCAGGGCCAGAGATATCTCCAGTGTTGGTGTGGAGGAGCAGGGGCAAGGCTGGCTTGTCTTTTCTCATGACACTCTGAGTTTGTGCTGTCATACACAGCACAGGAAACTGCAATCATGTGTTTCATGTCTGTCATCCCTGTCAGATCCCTCTTCTCCAGGCTGGCCCTTACAAGGTCTGGTTCATTCACTGTTGTGGCGCCATGCATCTGCATGGCTCCAGATGACTTCATGGTGGGGCTAATCATAGAGAGGCTTGCTGAAGTTTCCTTAGGGATGCATAAGAATGTCTGGAGTTAAATATGTCACTAAAAGTGCAAGCAGGTGTAAGGTCCTTTTGCTGTGGCAGTAAGTAGAGAAGACATCTGTTCTTTGACAGCTCATCAGCTTCACTCATTGCACTTTCTGTTTGGAAAACCACCACTTCCCCAATTTCTGTTTCTCACCCTTGTTCTGGAAGTAAGTCAGTGACATCATGATTGGCTCCTGATATCATGACTGGCTCAGTGACAGGCAGATGACCTTTTATGAGTCAGTGCTATTTCATGAGCCTTCAAATGTCTACAAAAGAATAATGGTTCTCAAACACCATCACTGGATTTGCACCAAGAGATATTGTCTTAGATATTGCCTTAGATCTACGGAATCTGTTAAGATCTTCTAACCATAACGGTCTTTATTTGAAAAGGCCAACAGACAAAGACAATCCATGACCTGAGACTACCTAACTTACCGATATGAAGCAAAAATACCCTTTCTTTCTCCCATTTTCCCCTCTTTTCTTTTCTTTCCATCCTCTTCCTATTTTTCCTGCCTTTCCTTCTCCTGCTTTCTTTTCTCTATCTCTCTTTCTTAAGCCAGAATGAGTTGGATTTTATGAGACTTGAGACCTAAAAGATCTCACGAT